AAATTTAAATTTTATTTAATTTATAATATCAGAAGTTTAAAGAATTATTATAATGAAAATGTGAGAATAAATATTATAATGATTTAAAAAAAAATATTTTTGGTGGTTTACTACTTGTCTGCAAATCATAAAAATATTATCAATAGTAGATATTAAATTTAATAATTTTTTCATTTTAGGTTCATATAAATTTGGCAGAAATGGCTGTTAATTGTATGTGTGAATTATTAATTTCACATTCATATTTTAATTATGCAGTCAACATTGGGCATTTGTTAACTCTTTACTTAGATAACAAAAATACTAATGTTAGAAAAAAAGTTGAAGAGACATTTATTAAAATTTTTAAAGAAGATAAAAAAGGAACTATTTCATTAGTGGTAAGAATTAAAAAAAAWTAGTTAAAATGTGTGGGGAAGATGTCTTAATGTAGCTATTGTGAATAATTAAATACTATATTTATATTTATAATCAGATAGTGCGGCGCATAAATCAACTTGTTAAGACTAGAAGTCATTGTGTGCACAGTGAGCTGTTATCTGTTTTACTTGCATTGCCTATCCGAAATGTCAATCTCGATAAAGAAAAAGAAGAAATTTTAAAATCAAAAAAATTTATGACTAGAAAACAAAAACTATTAGCTATGTCAAAAAAGGAGCGCAAAGTAAAAACTCACTATTATTTATTCCCTGTACAATGTGACATTAATTAAATAATTATTTTCATTTTTAGAGAAGTAAAATGTTGGATAAATTAGATAAAGAAATGCTCGAGACTAAAGCTGAAGAAAATGTTAAAAGTCATATGAATAATTTAACTGAAATCACTAAACTTGTATTTTTGATATACTTCAGAATACTTAAAACTGCTCCACGTTCTAAATTATTATCTGTTTGTCTTGAAGGATTAGCAAAGTTAGTATTATAAATTATTATTATTATTATTCTTATTGTGTCAAATGTATTGTAAATGCATTATTATTCTTACTGTGAAATTGATTTCATTTTTTTATGTAGATACAGCCATTCAATCAACTTAGAATTTTACCACGATATTCTCACAGTTTTGGATTCAGTTATAAAGAAACATCAACTGAATGTTCATGAACAGCTTTGTTGTATTAAAACTATTTTTGTCATTCTATCTGGACAAGGAACTGTAATTAACATTGATCCCGTTCACTTTTATTCTCATTTGTATAGAGTTATACCTGAATTAGATTGTTGTAAGTATAAACACTTGTTWTTAATAAAATCAATGGAATACCAAACAATTGAATTTACAATCTGATTTTAAATGATAAATTACTTAATTGATAATTTAATTTTATAAATATTTTTAATCTATAAAATAATGTATGCGCTTTTATGTATTGTAAACTTTTACATGAATATTGTTTTTAAATAAAATATATTAATTTTAAGATATTTATAATAATTAGGTAAATATCACGATAATTTAGAAACTTTTCTTCGTACAATTGAAGCGTTATTTTTGGTGGGTCGCAAGAAAGTAACTGCCAATTCTACACTGTCGTTTGTCAAAAGAATGTCCATGTTGAGTCTTCAAACACTTCACAATGCATCACTTGGGATTTTAGCTGCTCTCCGGACTATAATACAAGTAATTATATTAACTGTTTGTCATTGGTGTATATTTTAATATACATACATAATCATTTCTTAAAGCATCATTAATTTTTTTTTTTAGTTTATATTATATTATTTACTATTACTTTTTTTTTTAGACAAACAAGAACACAGAATCTTTATTAGATGTCGATCCATCTTATGGACAAGGAATTTATAATGCTGAATTACAAGAACCTGAACATAGTAATGCAGGAAGTACATCATTATGGGAACTTCCAGCACTACAAGTTAATAATTACTAATTGCTAATTTKTTTGATGCAATAGTGTTCATAATACTAATTTAATTTTAATTTTAGCGGCATTATCATCCTGAAGTATGTAGATTATCAAAAACTGTTGCTTCATTGACAGTTACACAAAATAATCATAACAATTATTTAAAACCAGAATTAGCCAAAATGTAAGTTCTATGCTCATATCATAATTCATATCATTTAATATTTATCTAGGAATCAAGGTAATTAAGTGGCATTAAATTAAAGTGAAAAGAATGATTCAATTATTTTATAAATTAACATTATTGTAAATTGGCAATTCATATTAATTTATTTTTATTTGAAAAATATAAATTTAAGTTAATTGAATTTTGTTAAAATTTAAGTTTTTATAAACCGAGTATAACAGTTGATCTTAGAATACAGATAAGCCTAGGTTTCTATAAACTCACCTTTCTTAGTTCTTAACATGAATTTATATTTCTTTATATTGACTTACAAGTTTTACGATAAGTAAACCTCTAATATTAACTTTAGTGAATTTACCTATGAATATAAAATAATTATTTAAATTAATAAAATATTGTCATAAAAAAAATCTACTATTGGTTTAACAACCTAATTAAAAATTTTAATTTTAGGACACCCAGTGAGTGGTTTAAAGAGTATGATCCAAGTAATGTGGCATTCAATCCAGCAGTTATGCCTCCGGTGAAGGTACCTCAGCGGATACCTGCACATTATCCAACTCTTCCATACTCAGATGTTTTGGACAAAAATTACCCTAATGTTAATTTCTCAAAAGATTTTTTTTGAATTTGTATTTATTTTGTTTTATCATTATTATAATGTATTAAACTAGAATTTTATTACAAAGAAAAATATTAGTCTATTTTTTTCAGTGTTAACTAAATGAACATTTTGGTGACCCCTAGTATTGATTATTCAGTAGAAGTTATGTGATACTGATAAGAAAATTAAGATTCAAATTCTTTAGTGAATAGTGCCTTATCAGTATTCATTTGATTTTCAATATCAGTAATAATAGTAATTAGTGTTAAATGTTAAATTATTTCTCTTCTGAATCACCCACAATAAGACTTTTAGTACAAATGTGCCAAACTAAATTTTTTTTGTAAATACTCACTGTGATTAATTGTTACAATGCACAAAACAGAAGTTGACATACCACCTAGCATTCGAAAACGTCTAATTCATCTTTTTGGACTTATAGAAAAAGAATTTGAGTCTGTGTGCCAGGAAAATGTTGTACTGCAGGAAAAAGTGGAGTCACTCACTGAAAAAGTTAACGAAAAGTACTTGACAACTGAACAATTTCAAGTAAATTCTAAACAAAAACCACCAACTGGTCAAAAACTTAAAACCGCAGAGAAATTAAAAGCACAAACCAGTAAAATTGTTTCTAGTTTTAAAAGTCCTTCAGCTGCTAATTGTCAGTTTGTGAAAGAATATGGTGGTCACAGAGATGGTTTGTGGGATTTAGCGTTACCTCATACTGGACAGCCCGTCATTGGAACCTGTTCAGCAGGTATGAAGTACTAAGTATATTTTGTYGTGTAGGATCATAATCCAATTTACCTTATACATAGATCACACCGCAAGAATATGGTGTATTGAAACTGGTACACCACTTTTACAGTACACTGGTCATATGGGATCAATTAATTCCATAAAATTCCATCCCAATAAAGATTTAGCTCTCACATCAAGTGGTGATCAAACTATTCATATTTGGCAGGCAGCTGTTAATCTAGATAATTTAGTGAGTATTTTTTTTT